ATATAGGGACGTCTTAAGGCCTCGGTCAAATAGGCCCAGGGCCTCGTCTAGTTCTCGACTCAGCCTTAATAAGATCATAATTCGCATTATTTCAACGGTCAAATCTTATTTCTGGTTGTATTATCTGAAAAACTGGGAATTTCGGACGATATGTCAACTGGCTACATGTGATGACCGTCGCTCACGTACAGGCCTAGGCCTACCACCAACACCATCATTGTTCATGCAGTCAAAAAACGGCAGTCGGTTGAGCCGGTTTGTGAGATTGTAAGTCATGCACATTTATTTGTTTCGGGTTATTATTTGTACGAGTATTTGACAACGTATGCTATATACTGTTTACCTTTAAGGGTCATAGGTGGGACCTACATTTGTGTAGGGGATCAGGCTAGGGCGTAGCTACCTCCGTGTCTATGATACGGGCCCCCCAAGTTACATGAGCCTCAACTTGTAACATTTTGACACTTTAAAGTAAGTTTTATTAATGCTATCATTTTTATTTATTTTCCAAAAACGGCCCCGAAGGAACTTTGATATAGGGCCTACTCAAGACTTGCCTTTAGCCTACTTTTGTGCATGGGGCCTTAAGACGTCTCTGAATTCATATAGAAGTTTCGAATATTGATGATTTGGGATATTTGATAAAATTTTCAGCGAAATAGTAATTCTGCCATAAAAATATTATCAAGAACGATATAAATTAATATCAAAATGTTTCATAAGGTTAATTTTTAAAAAAATATTGATTCATTTGCTATATTCTTATATTTAATCCGTTAGTTTATTTTTAACATTATATTTTCTTCTGTTTAAACATCAGGGTTTTTTTCCCCCTTTCAGTTATTTTATCAGTTATTGCAAATAGATTGAGCATCTATAAAATAAATATGGAGATCTAAATTGTATAACTAATTAGGTTTATTCTCTTATATATATCATTTAACCATTTGTGAAAAGCTTTAACCAGAAAATAATCTGTAATGTAAAATAATCAATTTTATCCATAAATCTCTCAATTCAAACAAATTGGGTACAAATTGATTAACCTGAAAATTTGCTTTCATCCAAATGTTATTCACATTTACTAAAACACATGCACCCACACATGTTCTATAGGATTTGGATCAGGGGATTACGATGGCCAATCCATTTTGCAGAGATATTCTCTCTTCCTTTGTCATAAAGAGGACATCTGCTGGTATCCTTATTATTACGAAAACATTTTACTTTTAAGGATCTGAAAACCCTTGTGAATATTTTTATTCCAGTATACATGAAATGTTAATAATTACGGGAAATAGTAGTGTGATTTTATTGTCATTTCTGTCATGTACGTGGTCGTGTTCATAAGGTATTATTTTATTACAATAAGAATACATAAATTGATGAGATTAATAGTTCAATTCAATAACTCTTTATTACATTACTCATTTTATAGAATGGAGAATTCTTTTGGACACCAAAATTGCAAGGAGTTGTCATAGGATCATTTTATTACGGCTATAGTATTTCACAAGTGCCAGGAGCAAGATTAGCTGAGATCTACAGTGGCAAATGGATCTTTGGCTTGGGAACTGGTATTTCAGCTGTCCTTTCTCTACTCATTCCAGTAGCAGCTTATTTCCACATAGCTGCTTTAATTCTCATTCGAGCTCTTCAAGGATTAGCACAAGTAAGCCAGTTATTTTAATACAGTTAAACCTGTTTTTGTGTGGTAGATAGGGACCGCATAAAAGAAATCGCACAACAACAAAAAATATTCGAAAATTTCATAAATACTTACCTTAAAATTCGGCGTATAACGCACACTTTTAACACAAAAAATGAAATCGAAATTTACGGGTGCGCGTTATACGCCAGATATAAAAATGCGATCTTTAAAAATAAAAAAATAAGATAAGCATACAAAAAAAATTTATCTTCTACATATATCGAAATACTCTTTATTTAAAAGAAATGACATTCCTTATGAACTTTATAATATATATATATATATATATATGTATATATATATATATAAGGGTTGTTGTTCTAGAAATATACTATTTTTTCTAAAGCTTGAAATATAACCTCGAATAAATTACTTCAAAACATTAGAATATTGAGCATTTACATTTCAGGTTTCTTCGTAAAATAGAGGGTGCGCGTTATTCGGCGAATGTACCTAAAAAATAAAAATTTCAGCTTGAATGTATAGGTGCGCGTTATACGGCGTTGCGCGTTATACGCCGGATTTTACGGTATATATAACAAACAATTTTGTCGACATACTACAAAAAACTTTTTTTATGCAGTGGAGAGGAACCGCATAAAAAAGTCGCACTTAAAAAAATATGTCAATTACTTACGAAATTTATGAGAAAGTACTTCAAACAAAATAAATAATTAAATTCCTCATGCAAGCATTTTAAAAACATTTAATTTCTCATTTTACATACGGAGAAACTTTCAAAATGCTCGTACATAATTCATTGCTACACATCGTAATCAAAAGCGCGCATCTTTCTGTGATGAATCACTTCAAAATCGCTTTCGTCACTTGAAGACAAAATTCCAATTAATTTATTTTTGGCATCATAAAGTAAATGATAAGTTTTTGTGACGACGGTCAGTTAGTTAGTTGCTTGTGAACATCACGATAATCATACATGCATGATCGAAGCTCTTTTTTTGTAATTTCAAACTCCCTTCGGGATAGTATCTATTTTAAGAAAATGCTTTTCCGATTTGTTGGAAAGCTGGATCCCAGCATATATTGTATCCTCTGTCAAAAATTCCGGTTCTCTTCATGTGTCCGTTTTCATAATCTATCAAATTATTGATAATGTCACAGTCATTGAAAGTTTCGTCTTCAATCAAGTGCGTGCTGCTAGTGCGTTGAGAGAAAGCAACGGAACGTGCATTGTCGAGAGACTGCTTATAACCAATGAACATAGGTCTTGAAGTGTACGTATGTACATCGATAGAAAACATTACAGGGGCGCCAAAACCATTGAAATTCATACACCGCATAAAAAAGGACCGCACAAAACCAGATTCTACTGTAATGGTTATAATTATTTACTTTCTTCATCATGTTCGTTGTCAATCAAAAGAGGACATTAAATTTTGTTCTGCCATTTCAATCTTTTTTCCCCTTTAGTTTCTTTTGTAGTGAATTGTAAAATAATTTTTATTTAACTACTCCGAAACATCACAAAATGAATGATAAATGAATGTAATAAGGAAAAAAGAAACTTTTGTGTAGCAAATACAAGTAACTCTAAAGCAAAGCAGGTGGGCAAATAGAGGCCTGCCAAGACAGCCAGAAAATCAACTAGACAGAAAAAATTCCCTATGTTTGGGTCATCTTCGACATCTTCGACATCACATTGGGGACTGGAGTCTAGGCAGACTCCTCCACCCCATATCGGGAACTGAGTGGGCATTGTGATGAGTACTTGGTTTGGGGGGTTGAGAAGGTGTGGCCACTAGAGCAGGGAACGAATGGCGAGCAAGCAGGCTTCAGCGGTTAGAACTGGGGTGTTTCCTATTGTCAAAATTGTTCTTGCAATTGTTAAGATCAGCATGAGTAATTATAGATGCAAGCTGGCTGACATTAAAATGCAAGTTGTGATGATAATTTCTATAAGCAATCTCATTCCTTTTGTATATAACATAAATCGGGAGAATTTGCCACATTTAAGGATTTTTCGATTCGCACATTGAAAATTGAAATGAGAAGACCATGAAAAAATGCACTTTATTTTTCAATATTTAATTGGTTATATATACAAGTTAATTCTATTCTTAGTATGAAAATAAATTAGAAATTTAATGTTAAAGTATTTCCTTTAACTGTGGCATGTTTCCCCTTATATGGGGAAGATGCCACCAGTCATAGAGTAAGATGCAACAACACCACAGTAAACAAAAAAATAAGGCAAACATTGCAAAATTAGATATAAAGTAACAATAACTATAGAAAAACAAAAACAAAAAAAATGTGTGTGTGTACTTATGTACGCAAGTAAGAAGTTATACTTCTTTGGCGTAACAAGATTAAAATCTTTCTAAAAATCTTTAGCAGGGCAAGCTGGGCCAAGGACAAAAAGGCGGTCACGAGCAGAGTTGAACGATACTAACCTTCAGTCAATCGGACCAGCCAAACCTGAGATAATCACGATTTAAATAAATTTAAACACCTCCGAAGAGGGACAATAGGACCAATAATATAGGGAGGGGGTCGAAGGCGGGAATGATCTGTCCCGTTCTGCATATTTCTAGACAAAGCATTTTCGTATCCGTTCCTACGGAATGCAAGCAGCCGCGACGCGAAGGATACCCTCAGTGGTAGGGCATTCAGCTGCAGATCGAGTGGTCCCCGGTACAAACTCGGGAATCTTCTTCTTCAGGGAAAAGAGAAAACTTTTTTGAGGATTTTGAAAGCGGTAATGATCTGTCCTATTCTGTATATTTCTATACAAATCATTTTCGTATCCGAACCTACGGAATGCAAAGCAAAGGCTCTCTGACACGGGGTGTATAGCTCAGTGGTAGAGCATTCGACTGCAGATCGGGAGGTCACCGGTTCAAACTCGGGTGTCCACATTTTCAGGGAAGTGAAGAAAAATTATTTTTTTGAGAATTTCGAAGGCGGCAATGATCTGTCCCGTTCTGTATATTTCTAGACAAAGCATTTTCGTATACGTTCCCACGGAAACAGGGCTGGGTTTACCCAGGGTTAAGGTATCGACCATGGCAGACATGTCATGAGTTCGAGCCCCGTACCACTAAAGACCCGCCGTGTAGGGCAGCGATGCACGTAAATCTGTCGAGAGCTGAAACGTCCTCCCGTTGGTGTGGTGTGGTAGTTAGGAGAGGGGTCCCAGTTCAGGTGTTGTCCACGTCACTTGACCATGGTTCAAATTACGGGTCCGTCGCCAAAAGCCCCGTGTAGCTGAACAGTGCGACGTTAATATTCACTCACCACCCACGGAACACAAAGCAGCGTTGCTGACGCGGGTGTATAGCTCAGTGGTAGAGCATTCGACTGGAGATCGGGCGGTCACCGATTCAAACTCGGGTGTCCACATTTTCAGGGAAGTGAAGAAAAATTATTTTTTTGAGAATTTTGAAGGCGGCAATGATCTGTCCCGTTCTGTATATTTCTAGACAAAGCATTTTCGTATATGTTCCTACGGAACACAAACAAAGGTTCAATGGACGCGGGTGTATAGCTCAGTGGTAGAGCATTCGACTGCAGATCGGGAGGTCACCGGTTCAAACTCGGGTGTCCACATTTTCAGGAAGTGAAGAAAAATTATTTTTTTGAGAATTTCGAAGGCGGCAATGATCTGTCCCGTTCTGTATATTTCTAGACAAAGCATTTTCTTATATGTTCCTACGGAACACAAAGCAAAGGTTCGCTGACGCGGGTGTATAGCTCAGTGGTAGAGCATTCGACTGCAGATCGGGAGGTCACCGGTTCAAACTCGGGTGTCCACATTTTCAGGGAAGTGAAAAAATTATTTTTTTGAGAATTTCGAAGGCGGCAATGATCTGTCCCGTTCTGTATATTTCTAGACAAAGCACATTTTCGTATACGTTCCTACGGAACACAAAGCAAAGGTTCGCTGACGCGGGTGTATAGCTCAGTGGTAGAGCATTCGGCTGCAGATCGAGAGGTCTTCGGTTCAATCCCGGGTGTCCTCTTCTTCAGGAAAGTGAAAAGAAATATTTTTCTGAGAATTTCGAAGGCGGGAATGATTTGTTCCGTTCTGTATATTTCTAGACAAAGGATTTTCACATCCGTGACGGTTTTGCGTCACATCTGTGACGGGTGCGCGCGCATTGTAAAACTTTACCCTCATCCTATTTCTCTAACGCCTCAAAAGAAGTATAACTTCAAAAATTTAATTCTTTCACATTATACTAGCTTGCTAAAAATAATAACTGTACAGGTTCGAAAGATAGCCTACACAACATTTCTCTCTGTGCAACTGATTATCATACAATCATCGCGCAACCATTTGTTGCATTCAGTGCACTGAATCCACTCACTTTTGTGCCCTTTTTCTAGCATAAAAGTACCCTTTATACACAGCACAAAAATCGTCATTATTATCCTCATTAAAACTGTTCCAATAGTAACAAGAGGAATTTCTTCTCTTGAGGATGACAAACTGACCCTTTTTTTTTTCCTGCTTCCTTGAAGGTTTCTTGTTGTTTCAACCTTACCCGCCTTTTCTAGCTTCCATCGGGTCTTTTTCAGCCTATTTGCTCTCCTCTCTGATTCAGTTAAGACTTCTGATGTAATTTTTTTTACGCTGGGTTGGTTTGTGTTTTCTGACGAGAAAAATAGGTTTGTGCTGCTATGTTATGAGTTTGTAGAGGTAACCGATGGTGGCGGACCACTTATTATCATTAATTGCATTTAAGTATTGCTAATTATAATAATAATTATTAATTGCATTTATATTTTATGCGATAGTATACAATGTTACAAAATGTAAAAAACGACACATTTTAAAGTTTATTTTATTTATTTCTGAATGGTGTGGCGTCTTCCCCCAAGTATAGAGGGGAGAAATGCACCACACGTTTATTTCCTTATTTGCCACAGTGCTATGGCCGCCTCTACATGCATCGTACTTGTAACATAATGTGTAACTCACTTATATTGCTAATATCTTATTTAAAACATTAAGCACGTTTATGAACTTTAAATATGAGGAGCTGAATATTATAAAAGTTGTACTCACCACTATATAAATGTGCACGAGATCCAAAATTAATACGGATTAAAGACGATTAATTCAGATAAACTCACAAGCCACTTAATGTCGAACCAGACTCTTCCCACAAGTGACCCAGTATTGGTATCTATCGACGCATAAAAGTACTATTAATAAACTGGTACTATTAAATATATATATAAACTGTAGAAAAGTGTGATAGAATACATTTGTGTCTCATTAAATTGTCTAAAAATAAATATGCTTGCAGTTATAGATATAAATTAGCACAATTAGTAAACTGAATAAAACTTCGACTATTTTATTTAACTTACATTTGTTGATTTTATAGTACAATTTATATCTTTTCTGAGTTACAAAGTTTGCTAATGAATGCAATCCTTTTTAAAAGGCGCGGCTTCCGCAACGTGGTCCTCGGGTCAAAACAATTGCCCACCCCTCTTCTAAAGCTTTTGTGGGCTTTGTTTATCATATATAAAAAGCCAACAGATATAACTTTTATTTTGATTATATAATTTTTTGTGATAAATAGCAGACGATATATGTAAATCCCCAATAATTTTTCTCATGTTGAAAATAAGAAAAATAGTACCTACGATATTGTTAACTTTCTCAGCAAATATCCCTAAGAAAGAAAGCATAACTTGCCATACACAAATACATTTTATGTAACAAATACTTTCACAATGATCTTTTCATCATTTTTTCCCTCACACTTATTCTGACTGTTCAAATAATCATAAACTTCAAGCCTCTTCACAACACTTAATCTAAAAGCATTTCGGAAGACAGATGAAGAGAAACCGCCGAAGAGAAAAGAATTGTAGACAAACTCGATTGACCGCCAATTGATTAATTGATTGAATATTAACGTCGCACTGTTCAGCTGCACGAGGGCTTTTGGCGACGGAACACGTAATTTTGAACCATGGTCAAGTGACGTGGACGACACCTGAGCTGGCACCCCCTCTCCTAACTACCACACCACACCTACGGGAGGACGTTTCAGCTCTCGACAGATTTAACGTGCATCGGATTGACCGCCAAAAAGCAGTGGTTACATATATAGCACTTGTAACATATGTCCTGTCCTAAAGCTTTGTATCCCTATGAGTAATTCCTATTGGCTGTAGTCAGATAAATAAATATCTGGAACTAAATTGATTCCCTTGGAGTTTTACGCTACCATCAATATTTTTTCTACAACTTGGTACGGTAAATCATGAAATAAATTATAATTCTTTGCTTACAGGGTGTTACATTTCCAGCAATGTATAATCTTTTAGGCCGTTGGATTCGAGAAGAGGAGAAAACTTTAGTAGAGGCTATTGTCATCAGTGGGATAAATATCGGCACGGTAGTTGGCATGCCTCTGGCAGCCAAACTCTCCAATTCCGATGTGTTTGGTGGATGGCCATCGGCATTCTATGTGATTGGTAAGTTACACACACTTTTATGTGTAATGTCCATATATAGAGAATGAAATAACTAAAAATTAAAAGCATGAGATCCATCAGTGGTTAACAGTTGAATATTAAATGTTAAAATTAATAGTTGTTTAACTCAAGACTGTGATGTATGATTGTGTATGTTATTGTTAGGTATGAAAAGATTCCTAATCTCATTAGGTAATATATTTTGCCAAGGATTCATCAGTTGGTTCAGATCAGGGAATTATTTTACTGGAAAACAATTCCAGCAAGGTAAAAACCAAGGAACGGTAACGCAATAGGTAACAAATCATCAACATATCGTTGAACAGCTAACGTTAGATGCGGGATGAGTGTAGCTGATTTGCTAGCATGATAGATAACATTTCCCATCATCATACCAGGGGTAATGGTTGTATCCCTTAATGAGACTACTCTCCCTGCCTCTCTCCTCCACGAACGAATCCAAAAGTCACCAGCTTAAATATTGAAGAAGGAATCATTTTTTTGAGCACTGTACGATTACAGTCTTAAGGTATCCGGCTACGTTCAGAACCGTGATTTTGCAAAAGCGTATAAATGGATAATATTTAGGATATTTAGTATCACTTAGATTAGAAAAAGTATATAAAATTGTTTTAAAAATAGTATTACAATAAAAAATTATTTAAGTACAATATTTTGACAAAAAAGAAACATAGAATGACCCATTTTCAAAATATTCTCCTTTTGTGAAAAAGGCGTTTATGATAATAATATTTTACCTGTATATAGCTCAGACTTCTGTACAGAGGCTCAACTAGAATTTTTGAAATATATAACTTAGAAGTGGGTTTATCCATGCTTTACGACAAAAGAGGGGAGCACAATTTTAAGAAAAAAAACGCCGATAATTATATATTTCAATGGGTTGTAACTCTGAAAATAAAAGTGAATTTTTCAAATATCATAATTGAGCCTTTGTACAGAGGTCTGAGATATATACAGGCAAAATATTATTATAATAGAAGCATTTTTCACAAAAGGTGAACATTTTGAAAAAAGGTTATTCTAAGTTAATTTTTCGCCGAAATACTGTATTTAAATAATTTTTTTTTGTCATAATGTGTCCTTAAAACAATTTTATACGTGCATTCTAATCTAAGTGACACTAAATATCATGAAAATTATACATTTATGCGCTTTTTTAAAATCATGGTTCCGAACGTAGTCGGATACCTTAAATGAACTAAATCACACAGAATGGAACATAGGGATTCAAAATATGAGACTATTTGTATTAGATAGTTAATTATTTTACTATGCAGAAGAAATCCTACACTTGTTGAAAAGGAAAATTTAACTGTGCAAAAAAAGATGAAATCCTTTTAATTCTCGATTTATGCTAAGTTACTTATACAAATATAATGATGTAACTCTTACCTATGATTATATTTTAAATCAAATTTTTTCATACCTATTTTTAGGAATCATTGGATGTATCTGGTTTTTATTTTGGTCCACTTTTGTAACTAATTCACCTTCAGAACAGCCATGTATAACACCCAAAGAGTTAGCACACATTGGTACCAAGGAAATAGATCATAGTAAAAAAGTGAGCATTCTTTTTTTTAAGCCTAGTAACCAAATAATTAAACAGATTTCTCTGAGTGGGGTTTAATGTACTACGTATTAATAATTCTATTGTACAAGCGTAAGTCAAAAATTACTTACACACACGTTCTACACACACACAATTTACACTGCTGGCTACCGTAAATGCAACACAATGAAGGAAGCATGCAAATAACATGCAATTTACAACATGCATTAGCGGACGTGAGATATGTAAATGATTAGAATTTCAGCGCAGACACACATCACGTGCGCCTGTGGCCCCCACCTCAAAGCGTTATTTAAGGCTTTCA